GTGCACACCGCCGTGCTCCCCAATATTCCCATCCCATTCAGCCCTGGGAAGCAGGGGTAGGAGGGGTGGGTGGACGACTCGGAGACCCCCGGCCCCGTAGCGCTCCCGTTTGTGACCCCGCTGTGCTGTGCTGTGCCGCAGGGGGCTCGGACGGGTCGAGGCTGTACGACTGCGTCTGGAGGTACAACTCCAGCGTCAACGAGTGGACCGAGGTGTCGCCCATGCTGAAGGCCAGGGAGTACCACAGCTCCACGGTGCTGGACGGGCTCCTGTACGTCATCGCCTCCGACAGCACCGAGCGCTACGACCACGCGGTGGACGCTTGGGAGGCCCTGCAGCCCATGCTGTACCCCATGGACAACTGCTCCACCACCTCCGGCCGCGGCAAGCTCTTCGCCATCGGCTCCCTGGCCGGCAAAGAGTCCATGGTGATGCAGTGCTACGACCCCGACAGCGACCTCTGGTCCCTGGTGAACTGCGGCCACCTGCCCCCCTGGTCCTTCGCCCCCAAGACCGTCACCCTCAACGGCCTCATGTACTTCATCAGGTGAGCCCGCACCTCCCTCCCCACGTCCCCTCTGTCGTAGCCAGGACCTCAGTTAAATTTGAGCACCGATGTCTGCACCTGAGCCCCGCGCTGGGGCACAGCCAGGTCCAAACCCGGCTGCTTGGAAACAGACGTCTCGGCTTTCTTGGCTCCTGGTTCCCCCCTCGTCGCTATAAATAAGCGAGTGAGCGCCAAGAAATCGCTAAAGTGGCGCGGCAGAGGACATCCTCCGTCGCAGCAGAGATAAGAGCGCCGAGGCTGAGGTGATTGGTCACTATTTTTAAGCGCCTTTCCAAACTGGGACTTAATGACCCACACGAAGCCGCCCTGGTGGCGCAAATACTTTGGTTATCCGCTCAATTAAAAATAAACGCGGGGGCACGCTGGGGCCGGAGCGCTTCATCTTCTGTGTGGGTTCCGAGCGAGCAGGGACCCCTGTGACGGCCCCCGCCGCTGCTGCTCGCTTTGCTGTGCAGGAAGCAGCCGCCGCTCCCCAGCGCCGGTTTTTGGGTCCTGCCGGGTGCTCGGCTCCTGGCCGCGCTTTGTCCCCTGCTCCAGTAAACCCCGGTGGGGGTGCTCCAGCCGCTGGGCTGCTCGGCACGGCCAGGTCTGTCCGTTTGTCGGTCTCTGACCCATTGTGAAATGCCAATGATTGGCGCTCTGGGGTTTGTGACCACTCGCACACCCAGGAGTTAAGGAGATTATCAGGGCCAGGTCTTTCTCCTCGTGTGGGTTGCTGTGCTGTGTAAAGCTGTCAGATAATCCCTGGAGGGCAGAGGAACAGGTTACAAATAATAGTCACAAACTCATTCTTTGCTCAGCTGTGAATAGCTCAGAGCAAAGCTTAGGGCTGGCGACCCCCTCCAGCAGGAGCAGTTTTGTAACTAAATACAGCAGAGCAGCGAGGCTCAGGTCTTCGGCTGCGTCCTCCCTTGAGCCCAGGCTGAGACGGGAGGGGAGAGCCTGGAGCTGCTTTGGACCCGCGTGTCCCTGCCAGGCCTCGGGGCTTTGGCTTCAGCCTGGCTGTGCCCTGTGAGGGGCGCTGAGCCATGAGCCAGGGTCTCATTGAGGCCTCTGCACAGGAGCCCTTTGGTCTCTGATAATGCAGCAGGAGTGCAGCAGAAGTGGCCATGGCAGCGTTTCAGGCGTTGAGCTGTGGCTCCACAAGGCAGGAGGTTTATAGACCACAGAAGGGTGATTTTGTGTTATGTCCCGCAGAGACGACTCGGCTGAAGTGGACGTGTACAACCCAGCAAAGAACGAGTGGGACAAGATCCCCGCCATGCTCCAGGTAGGACGCTTACGCACCTCCCGGTGCCTTTTGGTGCTGAAAACGGGCGTCATTCACCCCTGGAAGACAAGGTGCTCTGGAGGTCACAGCCCTCGCACATGGGGTCACCTGGGAGAGGAAGCCCAGTGCTGTGGTGGGTGTTCAGCCCCAGAGAGCTCTGCCCGCTGCGGTGTTTGGGCAGCAGCTGGTGAATCCCAGCATGTGAGGAGTTGGGAGGGCCCTGGAGAGCTCCCCCAGTGCAACCCCCCCAGAGCAGGATCACCAGAGCAGTCACACAGGAACACGGCCAGGGCTTTGGGTGTCTGCAGACAAGGAGACTCCACAACCTCTCTGGGCAGCCTGGGCCATGCTCCATAACCCTCACACTGACAAAGTTTGGCCTCATCTTCAGCTTGAACCTCCTGTGCTCCAGCTTGGGACCATTGCCCCTTGTCCTGGCATTGGCCATCCCAGAGCAGAGCCTGGCTCCTTCCTCCTGACACTGCCCTTTCCCAATGGATCCCCAGGAATGAGGGCACCCCTCAGTCTCCTCTGCTCCAAGCTCAAGAGCCCCAGCTCCCTCAGCCGCTCCTCAGCAGGAGATGCTCCACTCGAGCATCTGGTGGATGCTGAGCCCCATCCTGGCGAGCGGTGCTGGGATGGTACTGACACCGTTACCCTCTGCCTAACTGGGTAACCCCCCCGTCCTGTGGTTCTGTGGTTTCCCACGGCCGTGTGTGTTCATTTTTGATGGCAGGTGCACGTCGGGGGCAGCGTGGCCGTGCTGGGCGGGAAGCTCTACGTCTCCGGAGGCTACGACAACACGTTTGAGCTGTCAGATGTGCTGGAAGCCTACGACCCCGAGACGCGGACGTGGAGCGTGGTGGGCCGGCTCCCCGAGCCCATCTTCTGGCACGGCAGCGTCAGCATCTTCCGGCAGTTCATGCCAGAGACCACGCAGGAGGACGAGGGCATCACGCTGGACAACACCATCAGCCTCGACAGGCAGCGCCAAGACCTTCACAACCAGAACCTTAACGAGCTTCGTTAGCGGGGCAGGCGCTGCCCCCGGCCGGAGGCGAGGTCGTTGTCCAGAACCAGCGTGGCTTTGAGAAGGCAGAGGCAGACTGGTGCCTGGAAACCCCAAGGTACTGCTGTGCAGAGAGCAAGCTCCCTGTGTTTGAGGCGCTGCCCCGGCCTCGCTGCGCCGTCCCTCGGCCCTTCCCTGGGGCGGGCGCAGACGGGCTCCTGGTCACCCGCAGCGCTTCACTCGCCACCAGCCTCCTTTCTTCAGCTTCTCTTGGAACTGATCCTGCTCTGCAGGGTTGGGTGGGTGATCTGCCGAGGTCCCTTCCAACCCGACACGCTGTGACTCTTTGGGGGGTCTGGTAGGACAGAGCCCTACACCCCCACCTCTGCTCTGTGCCCCAGAGGCAGCAGACCCAGCGCAGAGGCCTCCCCAGAGAGCCGGGGGTCTGCTGGGGGCAGACCCTTCCTGCCCTCTCGCCGCAGTCCTCGCTTCGTGTTCACGCCTTCAGAAGGAACAGAGCACTTTTCCCCTGAGAAGAAACACCCAAATTTAACAAGATTGTTTGATTTCTGATCACCCCAGCAGAGCCCTCCCTTCAGGGCAGGGAGAAGCCAGGCGCAGAGGCCTCCCCAGAGAGCCGGGGGTCTGCTGGGGGCAGACCCTTCCTGCCCTCTCGCCGCAGTCCTCGCTTCGTGTTCACGCCTTCAGAAGGAACAGAGCACTTTTCCCCTGAGAAGAAACACCCAAATTTAACAAGATTGTTTGATTTCTGATCACCCCAGCAGAGCCCTCCCTTCAGGGCAGGGAGAAGCCAGCATGGGGCCGGTGAGGAGCCGTCCTCCCTCC